CCACTTCCTTATGGAGTGCATACAATATTGTAATGAGACTATTTTGACAAGACCATTTCCTCTTTAGGTCACTGTGCTTAGGTTGAAGCCTTCTTGCTTATTCCCTCAGCTAGTCTTTCATTGTAGTACTTAGGGAGGACCCTCTGACTCTTGCAATCTGTAGGCTTATTACATTGTATATTCGACAGACCTTTTGATGTCCTTCCTTGCCAATAATTATCCGTAGTTACTTACTCCCACGCCCTTGTGCTTTTATTGTTGTTCTGAACTTATATTTTGACTTTCTTCCTAGTGAGACTATCTTTTATTTCCATAACATTTATATGGAACCTTTAACTACCCCAACTCTTATCTGAATATTTCTCAAGGGTCACGATGTCGTATCTGTGAGACTGAATTCCCCATGTTGGGGTTCACTATGTACATCTTAAAAAATCTCTTGATTTTTCTGTGTCCTCTTGTTTAACCATAACTAGGCTCTTCCTGAATCAACTACTAACTACTCGTTGGCCCATTCTCATGTCAATATTCCGCGTAATCTTTCTTGGGTTATTTCCTTTGTCTTACTTACGTCTCGCACTGGTTCCTTATCTATCAATAACATCTCGGGTAGGAACCCTTACTTCCTCTCCTTGACGTCATGCTTGCATAATGTTATGGAATCATAGCATATCTATAGGATTTGAATAAGTGCAATCTCATCCTTTTTTCATATTTTTTTTTGCGTATTCTTCCTTTACCATTCCATAGTTACTAAAACCACTTAATTCTGACTTAATGCCACATCATACCATATTCCCCCCTTTTAGGGAAGCACTAAGATTTAGTGCTACGATGATCTACGTATAGAAGTTTTACCCACTCATCTTTGTCCATGATCCTTACTCGCCTCGCGGTAATCCTTATGTACCAAGGATAACAAAATTCCTCACTCGCGAGGGTAACACTTAGTGTAACTGGCACATACAGTCCCTTAAGCTTAACTTTACTCACCTTGCTTGATTTAGCGAAGCGTCTTCCTGAACGACCTTTAAAGGGTATTCTTCTATCGTCCATTCTATTATCGCCGGAATAAAATCTGAAATTCTCATGATGTCGACCATTATTGAATTATTCAGTCCCTAATTCATGTTTAGTTTATCTTGTTCACCAATCTATACTGATTTCTTATTACTCTGGGGTCTAATTTTTCCTTTTGGTAATCGCGTTGGAGTCACGAACTTATTTCTCGAAATGAGGATATGACTTTATGGCATATACTCTTTTGTTGTCTCAAGGAATATCACCTCTCGTCCTTTCTTTCACTTGATTATAGACTCTGTAATACTGTCATCTTTTTGTTCTACCGTTGTCATCCATGTATCACATCTTACTCATAATGCTTCATTAACTCTCTTCTTATTGCCCGCTAACATTTATGTCTATCACTTTATTCTGAAAACTCGAACAAGACATTCTTTTGCTTGTAGTTCCCCTTGCTCCATCTACTGGCTCTTCGGGTTGCCTAACATTCTTTCTCTACTAGGGGTGGGAGCTACACTAAGGTAATATTTATCCCTTCAAGTCTTCCAGTGCCTATCTTTGTAGTATTCATATCTAGCTGTACTATTTTAGAGTGCACCCTCTGGGTGTCTCAGAGGAGATCTATTAGCACATTTGCAATATCCTTCAGAAATGTCAGCTAACGCTAACAATCTATTCACCATTTTGGGTTACCCTAACCCCAGCTAGATCCTGACATTGCCTTCTCTTATATTAATTCTGTTAGCCCCCATAGGGCATAAATAAGATGGGTGTGGCCAATTGTACATACCTCTATTATCGTTGAAGGTACTCAAAAGGCTTATATTCCTCTACGATATTCTTCATTAGCTAGGTAGCTCGTACGTTTTTTCATCTTGCTTCTTTTACTTATTAAAACTTGTATCTACCTTCCGATTCTCTTATTCCTTTTTTTTCCATAAAAGTGGATAGACATTTTTTTCCTTAGGGATCCTTATCAAGAAGCTTGCACATCTTAATACACACATGATTAGTTGAATACCTCATATTTATCCATCATAAGCATGATGCAAAAATTGAGTTCTTCTGACTTAACCCTTCCATAGTCACATTCAATCCCTTACCAACCATCTTTCTAGATGTAGGCATCATCGTATTATGAATAAGATAGAGTTTAGGAAATTGAGTTCTTACAACTGAGCTCTACCACACGATCTAGAGTAAGAAGAAAGAGTGACAGTCCTAAATGTCCTGTAGCATCCTACTTATAAGTGTGGTACACAACACACCCATAAACAAGACTCTACTAGACACGGCATGTAGACTCCCTCGGACAGAACAACTCTGATTCCACTTTTGTCACGACCCAAACAGATGGGCCGCAACGGGCACCCGGTACCTTACTCAACCGAGTACCAACATTACATATCATTCTTATCGTACTGTCATTTGCAAATGGGCCAAACGGGTTGTCATGGGTTAACCAGAATAAACTTAAGGGAATACTTAATATAGGACGACCCAATCTGATATAAAAACTTATACATGTGATAAAAGGTCTATAAGACCAAAATTACACTAAACATAGGCCGACAAGGCCGTACAATCTTTCACGTACACGACATATGTCTACAAGCCTCTAAGGATACCTAAATTTCATAAAGGTCGGGACAGAGTCCCGCCATACCAATCAACACATGTCCTAATCATACTGAGCAATAACAACTCCGGAGCAAATGGAGTGCACCAACATCTTCCGCTGGGTTGATAGCCTACTTGGAGGACTCTCGACATGTCTATCGAGACCTGTGGACATGAAATGCAGCATCCCCAGGCAAAAGGGATGTCAGTACAAATAATGTACCAAGTATGTAAGGAATACAAATCAGTAAATAATAGACATGAGAGAAACATGGAGTAAAAGACTCGACATGTACGTCTGCATAGCTTTGTGAATCATTTTATTTTTTATAATGCCATGCATATGCGTATAAAATGTCATACCATGCATAGTTATATGTGTTCGTAACATCATCAAGCCTCTGATGGCATCCAATCACATCATTTCGGCCACTGTGGGCAAATCATCAACGTATACCAGCTGATCAGGTGGTGGTCCGTATATAACGCCATAACCTTTATCTATATCCCATATACATATAATATACATATATATGCGTATATAATGCCAACTGGTCATGGGTCAATGTACATGTATAAATGAATGAAATGCATATGAAATATGTCAATAAAATCTCTCGGCACGTCATAAAACTAATATGTCTGTCGGATAAATTTTATCTAATACGTATTTTTCTGAGACCCATGAACAAAAGATATAATGATAATTCACATGGAGAATCAAGAATATAGACACCCCTAATATTTTTATGAATAGAGTCCTTTATGGAAATTGTGCATTTTCTCGTTTCGTTCGTGTCGTATAGATCACGCCAAAAGAAAGAAGGGATAGCCTTAACATACCTGAGTTGATTCTCTTGACAATCCTTCTAACATACGTCAATTTCGACAACACGTAACGGTGGATCGAATTAGGGGAAAATCCATATGATGTTCTTGAGAAAGAATGCATTGTACTCCCTTAATATTGCAAAATCTCACGTTAATTAAGGTGCTCTGAAATCTTGGGTTTCGAAGTGTTGGAGACGCTATGGGACATAATATTTTGAATTCCTTAAGATTCTTGAAATGTCACGTCAATTAAAAATGAAGATGTGATTCTTATGTCTTTAAGACATATACTGGTTCTCTTTTTCCAAAGTGATATATGACTCACTTTATAAGACTTGTCCAATTCTCACATTCTAGTCTTGCCACATATTTTGATGACTTAAGAGTCATACATGAGGACGGAGGTGGCTGCCATGTAATTTTTCATAAGACTTATCAAAAAGTCATCCACTTAATTCCTTATTCACTTCATTAATCCCCCACCAGTCCAATAATTAACCAATTATCCACATAATTAAGAATTATCTCAAATTACATAAAATGATACTCACTTTTAATACACTTCATACACCTTACTATCATGGCCATGTGGTACCTTGTATGACACTAGTCCATAAATATCGGGTATTTTAGCTCGGGCCGTATTTTATCCCAAAATGTCAAACTTCGACGAAATTCAATTTCTTCGATTTGCTTACCCTCTCACCTTCACAAATTTACTCATCACTTGATTGAGATAGCATAATGCTTATAATCTCCAAAATAATCTCATTCCCGAACTTACGTCGATTAACTTACGACGAAACCTTAACGTACAAAAATGCGGAGTATAACATCTCATTTCCGAGCTTTTATCAATTTACTTATGGCGTACTTCCATGTACGAAAATATGGGGTGTAACAATCATGAACCTTCCTATCAGTGAAACTCTTTTGCCTGGACGGTGCTGTACGATGTCACTGCTAAATCAATTTCACCTTCTCCAAAGCATCATTAACCAAATTTGTTCCCATCAATCTATCCTCACTATGCTCAAACCAGCCAACCGGAGACATCGCCTCCCATATAAGGCCTTATATGGAGCCATCTAAATGCTCGACTGATAGTTGTTGTATGAAAACTCCTCTAATGGAAGAAATCGATCCCACTAGCCTCTGAAATCAATAACGTAGGCCCTCCAACATATCCTCCAAGATCTGAATGGTCTGCTTGGACTGCCTATCCATCTGAGGGTGAAATGCAGTACTTAACTCCACATGGTACTCAACTCATGTTGTACGACTCTCCAAAAGTGCAATGTAAACGTAGTGCCCCGATCCGAAATGGTGGATGCAGGCGCACCATGCAAGTGGACAATCATACTGATGTAAACCTTAGCCAACTGCTCAAAAGTGTAAGAAGTCATGACTGGAATGAAATGCGCAGACTTGGTCAGTCTTTCCAAAATGACCCAAACTGCATCGAATCTCCTCAAAGTCTATGGAAACTGTACCACAAAATCCATAGTAATGTGCTCCCACTTTCACTATGGTATCCCTAACCTCTGAAGTAAACCACCCGATCTATGATGCTTATACTTGACCTGATGGCTATTCAAACACCATGCAACATATCCAACAATGTCCTTCTTCATCCTCCGCTGCCAGTAATGCTTCTTCAAATCAAGGTACATCTTTATAGCACCTAGACAAATAGAATACCGTGATCTATGATCCTTCTCAAGAATCAACTCCATCAAACTATCCATATTAGGAACACAAATCCGACCCTGAAGTCACAATATACCATCATCGCCAATAGTCATCTCCTTAGAACTGCCTCGTTACACTATGTCCTTAAGGACAAACAAATGGGGATCATTATATTGACGAGCCTTGATGCGCTATAAAAAGACGACTTCGCAATAGCACAAGCAAGAACTCTAATAGGCTATGAAATATCCAATCACATGAACCTGTTGGCCAAAACTTGAACATCAATAGCAGAAGGCCTCTCCATAGCTGGAATAAATGCCAAAGTCCTCATACTCTCCGCCGTTTTACTCAAGGAATCCTCTACTACATTAGCCTTACTAGGATGATACAAGATAGTGATATCATAATCCTTTAACAACTTTAACCACCTCTGTTGCCTCAAGTTCAAATCATTCTACTTAAACAAATGCCAAAGACTCTGATGATCCATGTAAACCTCACAAGACACATCGTATAAGTAATGTCTCAAAATCTTAAGCGCATGCACAATAGCTGCTAACTCCAAATCATGTACCCGATAATTATTCTCTTGGGGATTCAGCTGACGCGACATGTACACAATCATCATGCTGTCCTACATCAATACACACCCAAGGCCAACACGCGAAGCATCAGAATAGACAATGTACTTCCTCGACCCTGAGGGCAATACTAAAATTGGAGCTGTAGTCAAAGCAGTATTGAGATTTTGAAAGATCTCCTTACACTCGTCCGACCATCTAAATTGAGGGAATTTCTGAGTCAACTTGGATAATGGAGCTGCAATAGCTGAAAATCCCTCTACAAAGCAATCCCGCAAAACCTAAGAAACCCCTAATCTCAGTAGCGGTAGAAGTTCTGGGCCAGCTCTAAACTGCCTCAATAATCTTTGTATCCGCCTTGATCCCATCACTAGATGCCACGTGGCTCTGGAATGCCACTGCATTAAGCCAAAACTCATACTTGGAGAACTTAGCATACAACTTCTTCTCCCGTAAAATCAGGAGCACAATTCTCAAATGTTGTTCGTGCTCCTCCTTGCGACGGTAATACCAATATATCATCAATGAATACAATGACAAAAGAATCCAAATACGGTATAAACACATTGTTAATCAAATGCATGAAAGTTACTGGGGCATTGATCAAACCAAAATACATCACTAAAAACTCATAATGCCCATAAGGAGTTCGGAAAGCCGTGTTAGGGATGTCCGAAGCCCTAATCATAAAACTAGAGATACCCCAATCTCAAGTCAATCTTAAAAAACACCCTAGCACCCTGAAGCTGATAAAATAAATCATCAATGCGTGGGAGTCGATGCTTGTTCTTGGTGGTAATCTTGTTTATCTTTATAGTCAATACACATCCTCATAGACCCATCTTTCTTCTTTACAAACAACACTAACACACCCCAATGTGAAATACTAGGCATGATGAACCCCTTATCAACCAATCTTGCAATTGTTCCTTCAGTTCCTTCAACTATACTAGAGCCATATGATGCGGAGGAATAGATGTAGGTTGAGTGCCTGGTGCCAAATCAATGCTGAAATCAATATCCCTATCGGGTGGCATGCACCGTAAGTCTGCAGGAAACATATCTAGAAACTCACTCACTATCGGAACTGACTCAACAATAAGAGTATTAACACTAACATAGCTGACAAAATCTAGATATTCAAAACACCCCTTCTCAGCCATCCATTGAGCCTACAAGAATGAGATTACTCTTCTAGGAGTATAACCAAGAGAACCCCTCCATTCCAACCTTGGCAACCCCGGCATAGCCAACATCACAGTCTTAGCGTGATAATCAAGAATAGCATGGTACGGAGATAATCATTACATGCCAAGATCACGTCAAACTATACCATATCTAACAATATCAGGTCTCCTCTCATCTAAAAACCACATATAGTGACTATACAGGATCCATAAACTCGATCCACCACTGTGGAATCCCCAACCGGTGTAGACACATGAACATGAGTAGCAAGCGAATCACATGGCATATCCAAACAAGAAGCAAAGTATGATAACACATATGAATAAGTAGAGCCAAGATCAAACTGAAGAATCTCTAAGGCACACAAAAATAATACCTATAATAACTTCATTAGAAGTGACTGCCTCGGTCCTCCCTGAGAATGCATAACATCTCGCCTAACCTCTATTGCACTGAACTCTACCTTTAGGAGGACCACATCCTGGATGACCTCCACCCCAAGCTGGCTGAGTGGGTGGTGTAGTAACCGGCACAGGAATCCTAGTCTGACATCCCTGCTACCCTAATCCTCTACGAAAATAGGGGGAGTATTCTTAACTTGCCCCAAGTGCCCACACTCATCGCAACCTCTAACCAAAAATGACTACAAGGCCTAAGTTATACCCCGTGAACCAGAATATCCACAAGAAAAACTTTGAGGATCCAAAATCTGCCAGTGGTTGTGATGGCGCCTAACCCACTAGCTAGGCAAGCCAATCATAAAGCACTAATCAAACATCCTAACAAAATACAGGATATATAAGTGTAAGAGTCAAATATCATAAATGAATAATATGTTAATACATAAATCCCCCTGAACTAGTAATATAGAGTTATGAGCTCTACAACAGGAGTACAAGTCAAAAATATTGTCTGATTAACAATAACAGTAATAGAAATGGAAATATCCGCCAAGGACTGCGATTGGGATGCAGCTCTACCTCGTCTCTCAAATACTCAACAAAGCTCCAGCACTCTCAGCTAGGTCCCACACCTGGATCTGCATAATTAAGTGCAGAGTGTAGTATGAGTACAACCAACCCCATTTACTCCATAAGTATCATGACTAACCTCGGAGAGGTAGTGGCATTAATCACCAATTATACTCACATCATAAATCTACACAATTAATGAATACATATGAACATGCAGCAACAATACCGAAATCTGTGCATGACTGCAGATAAAGCCTATAGGGCACATAGAGAAGATATGCACGAACATCGAACAAAATAAATGTTTAGCAAATAGAGGAGATATGCATATTTATACAAGTCAAATTACACAAAGAGAGACATATAAAGAAGATATGTATTGTGTATCATTTTATCAACAGAAGTGGCATATAGAGAAGATATGCATAAAAAGGCATGTATACAAGTACGAAGCTAGCATATTGAGGAAATATGCAGTAAAATCCTATATACATCCAAGGAATTTTCCATATAGAGAAGATATACAAAACCCCTAACATTAATTAAGCTTTCCATAACTGTGTGTATGTCATCAAGGAGAAACATGAGCAGACGATCCTAGGGGGATGGATCCTTATCCACACGTTGCACAGACAACTCACGTGCTATAACAACTCCACGGACAACTCGCGTGTTGTCAAACCAGTACATCACACTGAAAGCATATACAAGAATATATTTATACAGTCAATGGATATCAAATCACATACTTCTAGACTAATAAAATAGCATGCGAAGGTGTATGCATATGTGAAGTGTACAAGTACATCTCAATTAGGCAGTTATGCCACACAAGAGTGAGTATCGTGTTCAAACAGGAAAAATGAGCCTACACATGATCTCTAGCATGATTCACGAGGTTACGTAGTCATACAAACCTAATAATCATGATAGCAAGAATCAAAATATCCGAAACAACGCATAACATAACCTACAAACTACCTTTAACATGGATAAAACTGTTCCACGCACATGGGCTCTAACCCTCATATGTACTCTACCCCTAGCATATAGCCAACATCAATAGTTCAAGAAACATGTCCCTCAACAATGTCTAGGAAAGATACATGCCTCAAATGAGCTAACTCAATACTCCAAAAACACCTTCCCATGCTAATCGAGCTCCAAACAACTCAAATCTAGTCAAATAACACAACATGGTGTCAAATAATGCTAAAGGAAACAATAACAAAGCATAAAGGCTCAATCTTTAATAAAAAACACAAATCCAACCAAAACGTCAACCTAAGCCCGCCTCCCGAAACCTGTCCAAACTCACAGATCTCGACTATCCATTTGAAAACGAGTCCAATATACAAGTTACATCCAACTCCAACTTCAGTTCGGGTTTCAAAAATCAATTATTCACTTTCAAAAATCTAGTCCAAAAACCCGAATTTACTCCTTCAAATCAATATTCTATGTGCACAAAACAATAGGGACTAAAGATCTAATACCAAAATCAAGTAGAGATTACTTACCCTCCAAAGTATGGTAAACTTCTCCACAAAAATCCTCTCTAGCCGAGATCCAAATCTCCAAATAATGATAAATGAGCTAAACCTCAAATTATCACACTGCCTGGTGGTTTCCGCATCTGCGGACAAATCTATCGCTTCTGCGACTCCACTTATGTGATCCAAACCTCGCATCTATGAGTTCACTTAAATTTTTGCTGCCTTGCACCTGCGGAGCTCAACTCCGCATTCGCGACCCCGTAGGTGCGATAAATATCCTAAGCACAATACCTCGCAGGTGCGACACACCAGCACCAGAACTGCCAATCAACGTCAGATTGATTCAAAGACTGTTCGAAATACACCCGAGCCCCCCCGGAGTCCAGTCCAATCATACCAACAAGTCCTAATACCTCCCCCAAACCTATCCAAAGGACAAAACACTGAATTTAACATCAAAACAAAGAATCATCGATCAATCTCTTAAATTCATAAACTTCCAACTTCAAACCAAGCATCTGTTTCAAGCCTAACCAATCTGGATTTCAATCAAAGTTTGCACACAATTCCAAAATGGCCCAACGAATGTATTCCAAGTCCGGGAATAATAACCCAAACCTATTATCATCAAAATCAATCCCCAGTCAAACTTGTGAATTTTCCAAATCTTCAAATAGCGAACTTTTGGCAAATAGAGTTAAAACATCCTAAGAACCTCCATATCCCAATCCGGACATACTCCTATGTCCAAAATCACCCTACGAACCTATTCAAACCAACAAATCACCAATCTGTGGTCGTTTACAACAAGTGCAAGCCTTGGTCAACTCCTATAACTTAAGCTTCTGAAAAAATGAAACTAAGTGTTCAAATTATTCTCAAACCTTCCCGAAGCTGACGCCAACCATCCCCGCAAGTCACCAAACATCAAAACAACATATGGGGGACATCAAACAAGGGAATGAGGCAAAAATAAACAAAATGACCAGCCAGAATGTTACATTCTCCCCCTCTTAAAAAAATGTTCGCCCTCGACCGATGAACTCTCCACTGAACCTTTACCGATGCAATATATTTTGACCTCAACTTCCAAACCTCCCAATCCATAATGACCACCGAATCCTCATCAAAAGTCAAATCCTTTTCCAACTGTACCGAGCAGAAATCCAACACGTGCAACGGATCCTCGTAATACTTACAAAGAATGGAAACATGAAACACCGGATGAACTCTCGAAAAGATGGGTGGCAAAGAAAGCCTGTAAGACACCTCTCCCACTCTCTCCAGAACCTCAAATAGACCAATAAACCTCAAGATCAACTTTTCGTTCTTCCCAAACCTCATCACGCCCTTCATAAGCGAAACTCTAAGTAGAACCTTCTCACCCACCATGAACGCCACATCACAAGCCTTTCTATTTTCATAAATCTTCTGCCTGGACTAAGTTTTATGAAGATTCTCCTGAATTAACTTTACCTTAGCCAAAGAATCATGAACCAAGTCTGTGCCCAACACCCTATCCTCCCTAGGCTCAAACCAAACAATCGGAGAATGACATTGCCTCCCATATAAGGCCTCATACGGAGCCATCTCGATGCTAGACTGGTAGCTGTTGTTGTAGGTGAATTCTGCTAAAGGTAGAAACTGCTTCCACTAGCCTCTAAAGTAGTGTAGTCCCTCAACATATCCTCCAAGATCTGAATGGTACGCTCAGATTGTCCGTCCGTCTGAGGATGAAATGTTGTACTCAACTTAACATGTATTCCCAACTCACGCTACACAGCTCTCCAAAAATGCAATACAAACTGAGTGTCGCGATACGAGATGATAGAAATAAGTACACCATGCAAGCGAACAATATATGGGATGTAGATCTTAGCCAACTTCTCTGAAGTGTATGAAGTCATAA